CTCCGTGACAGCCCCGGGACGGCGGCACTCGGGCCATTTATACAGAGCCGGGATTGTGGCAGAACCTGGGGCGAAGTTTGCCTTCCTGGTTTGCAATCCCCAGCTCTGCCTTGCACCACTCCTGTCCCTGGGGCTCTGCTGTGCCCTTAGCAGGTGAATGCCGCTGCCCCCCAGAGCTGGGTTTGGTTCCACTCTCCAGCCCCAGCCTTGGACCCTTCCCTCTCTCCCGGCTTTGGTGGGGGACGGTGTCCCCAGCCACGGCAGTGGAGTGGGGCAGCCCCCACTGAGCGGCTCTGCAGCAGAAGGAGGAGGAGGAGGAAGTGGAGGAGGAGGAGGAAGATGCTATTAGAGGCTTCCCACCCTGGGCCCAGAGGCAAATCTGCCCAGGTTAGAACAGGCGTGGGTTTGATTTGTGTGTGTGAGTCCCTGGAGTGCCACTTTGGACAAGTCCAGCAGTGGCTCCCCCAGTGGGGTCCAGACCCTGTGTGGAGCAGCACTTGGGGGAAGAGCCAGAGCCCCTGGGAGCCCCCACGACACAGCCTCAGTGCCACCACTGTGCCAGGAGTGTAATGGGGGGGTCTTTATTCAGGACAAAGCCGTCTGTGGGCAGGGAACAAACTCGGGGACCTCAGCATGGCCTCGGGCGATGTCGGATCTCACCTGGCACCACCAGATCCCCCCACACGTCACCAGCCCCTGGCTTAGGCATCGCAGTGCCTCAGCCTGGCATCCCTGCCTCAGGCTGTCCCCACGGATTTGGGGTAGAACAAGGTGAACACGGCGTCTGTGAGGGCCGAGGGCAGGTAGCTGAGGGGGATGTAGAGCAGCTTGGCGTCCCAGCCGGCGGAGTAGCGGGCGCGGGGGTGCAGGCTGGTCAGGGCGTGCTCCATGCACTTCGTGACCAGAGACAGGTCGCAGTTGTAGCTCTTCTGCATTATCTTCAGCGATGCCACAACTGCAGAGGCAGAAAATGCCACTGAGTCCCTCAAGCCAAGCAGCTTGGTGGGGTGTCGGGCTGGTGGGACCCCCGTGGGACCCCCCTGATTCCGGGGATGTGCCTCGTGTCAGGAGAGAAACGGCATCACTCAGCCTTTGGGACAGGTACTTACGCTGCTTCAAGTAACTCTCCCCATAACTTGTTTTGATTTCCTCTGGAAGCTTCTCCCAGGTAGAAAGAAAATTCCTCTCCAGGTTCTCGACGTTGGTGATCATCGTGTTGAAGTAGCCTGGCTCGATCACACTGACCTTCACCCCGAAGCTGCGCATCTCAAGCCTGCAAGGGACCAAGTGCCACGGGTCACAGGGCCAGCAATGTGTCCATGACTGCCTCTCCCATGAGATTTACAGCAGCCTCGTGCCAGAGGAGCAGAGCAAGACCATCCAGCTGGACCCCGTGCCTGAGCACGTGGCTGAGGCAGCGTGTGAGCAAACATGTGCCACATCTGGATGTTCTGGTCTGGGGACAAAGCGAAGGTCAGGACTGCAGGGCTCTGTCCCAGCTGATCCCGGATGGGGGCAGGATCTGATGGGGAGGCTCCGTGCCAGGACAGGTGCCGTTCACGCTTCAGCAGCAGCGACAACCCATCGACCCGTGCTCGGCTGTGGTGCCGCAAGGATGGGGCCTGAGAGCTGTGCCAGGCAAAGTCCAGAGAAACAAATTGGGAAATCAGGAGGGTGCCACAGCAGACTCACCTGAGGCTGTCAGAGAAGGCCTCCACACCGAACTTGGAGATGCAGTACCCGCCACCGAAAAAGGAGACGCGGCCCATCACACTGGCCACGTTGACCACGCGGCCCCGCGCCCGCCGCACCAGCGGCAGGAGGCTCAGGGTCACCTCCACCAGCCCCACCAGGTTCACATCCAGCACCTTCATGAAGTCGTCCTTGGTCAGCCACTCGTTCGGGGCAGTGGGGATGGCGATCCCCGCGTTGTTCACCAGCCCCCAGAGCCCTGCAGAGGGGACGGGATGAGCTGGGGCTGCTCCACGGCCCCACGCCCGGACCCGGCTGTGCCAGCGCAGGCGGGAGGGGCTGCTGGG